ATATAAAAAATTTAGCTTAGATATGACGTCAAACTACAGATACCTATAGTAAATCTAATCTTTGGTTAGAATGGCAAAAAATAAAATTATCCCCCCAAATTCCTCAAGTTGTGTTAATAGTGGGGTACCTATCAATGTAAAATATTATAAAGCGTCGCACGACGTTGTGGAAAGCTGTCAGTACCACGGTTCATTTGTACACACAATTATCCAACGGGAAAATACTGAAAACACACTCATCATGACGAACGTAAAAATGTTTATAATTTTTGTAGTTTTTTGCACTTTTCAAAATTTTAGTTACGCTGATTATGTTCCAGTATCAACTGCTTGTAACAGGTAAAATAGGTCTTATATTATATTTATATTATTTTTTAATTCCTTTAATTGCGTTCATTCGGTACAAATGGCAAAATTCACATATCGATGGTAAGACCCCAAAATAATTTTGTGTTTTTATCATTTTTTTTTGTGGTATAAGTACATATAATTTAATATTCTATTTTTTTTAACGTAATTATATTGTTTTTTTTTTTTTTACAATTTAAAAGGAAATTATAATTTTTTGCCATGGAAATGGTACTTACAGGGTTTGTTCATCGGGACATATTAATAATATTGTTAATTTAAATAATACTTGAATTACCTAGTTAATGATATAAAAAATTACAGTTTACTTAAGACAAATTAATTTGATATATAAAATTAAATTAATTTATAATTGTTAAATCATTATATAACCAAAGACAAAAAATTACAATTTTTTACAAAATACATTTAAAATTATTTTTTTGTGAAATAAAACCTGCCTTAAATGATATTTTATGATAATAAACAAATCAAATATTTAAATGTAAAAATCATAAATATTTATCATTTATAAGCTATTAGTAATAAACTTATAATAGCTTATAAAATTTGTATTTAAAAATAATTTATTGGCAAATTCTGAAAAAAAAAATATTTTATTTTATTTTATCAACAGCTGAATAGAAAGAAAAATCATATTTCACACTTAAGGCTATTGGAGCAGAAAATTTGGAATATTAGCATTTGTTATACATAGAATAGGTATTTATTAACAATTGGACGATAATGTGATAGAGATAGGTTACCTATGGCTACAACCTAATATAATACAAAATATATATTATATAATTGAAACTTATATTTATATTTTGAATACATTTTTTAAGAATAATTCTGATTTTAAGGCTTATGAAATTAAAAAATATTTTTTCTCCATAGGTAATCTAGAAAAAACTAATAATAATCATAGGTATTTAAATGTAGAATAGTAATTTTATATCGCTGGAAGTCCGTAAACATAAAATAATATATCAACTTTGACAAAAGTTTCAGAATACAATTATCTAAGGTTTTAATACCATATATTTTAAAATATTCGCTACTTCCTTATGTTTTAATATAGGTAGGTGCATTTTATATTATACTGTAAAAACTCTTATGCTGGGTTGCATGGTGAAATATTGATTCTCTTAATCGTTCAATAATATTCAACCAGTCAACCACGGCCCACTAAATTATGTTTAAGTAACAATTGTCCCATTATTAATTCAATAAATGTTTAGTCATTGCTCATGCAATCCGGCATTAATCCTCACAAAAAAAAAATTAAACACAAATATCTAATTGATATTCATGTGAATATATTTATATTTTAAAATCAATAGTGTAACAATAATTAAAATTATATTACATTATTACAGCAATACACCGTTATGTGTTTTCTATGATTGTTTTTTATTCAAGGTGTTAGGAACAGTAAGTAAAAAAAATATCCGAATAAACAATATGTGCAATTTGTACACAATTTTACTGAACTATATTATCCAAGTCAGAAACTTACATTTAAAAACACGCCTCGATTAAGTTCTAGAAGTTAATGTTAGTCAACCTTAAGATTTTTACAGAATTAAAATTGGCCAGGTCAAAGAATCACATTTTTTTTCCACAGCTGTCTCAAATTTTTTTTAAAACATTATTTGGTATACAGACATATTTTTATTTTTTATTTGTTTGCAAGAACTGGTACTGGTTGCGACCACGAACTGCAGAGCACAGCAGTCTAGTAAAAAACACTTTTATAAAAATTGTATTTAAAAAATTGAAAATACAGATAAATGAATAAAAAAGTGTCTTATTTTAACACTAAAATATTTTAATACCTATTAATTATGAAAAATTAAATTAAAAATTACAGTTATTACCTAATGAAATATAAAATAAATAAATTATTTGATTTTAATAAAATAGAAAATAATATAATGATTGTCAAAAAATAATCTGAAATATGACGGAATAATTATTTTTAATTTTAGAAAGGTTTACTAAAATAGTATTAAATTAGTAGTAATAAATAAATAAGTAACAGTCAGATTAAAATTAATCTAATGATTTTTTAAATTCCATTGTGTACCTAAAGTCAAATTATATACCTACGTAAATGTTTCAAGTCCTCACGATTATTATTTTTGAATTACAATAAATAATAAGTAAGTCTTCATTTAAAAATCCAGTTTTGTCATAATTTTAAATTTAATGTCTAAAAAAGAAAATTGTTGGTTAGATTTTTGGGCTTAATCTATGAGGAAATCCGTATTCAATTTGAATGCCTTACCTACACAAATTAAGTTTGTATAGGTACATTAATAAAATTATAACAACAAAATAATTACATTTTTTTTTTTGAAATATTGACGAATTTCATTATAATTTAATCTTAGACGCTCATAACAAAATATGGGTGCAAACGAATAAATTCTACTCGTACTTAGGTATATAACTTATTTAATATTTAAAACAAAATTTAAAATTTAAAGGTGTATTATCATTCAGAATTTAAGTTCAATGATTGAAATGTATTAATAACGAGTAATTTTATATAAAAAAAATTACGTCCAATGTAGGTAAATTCCTCGGAGTCACGGAGTGTGTTGTAAAATATCCCGTGTGCACATTATAGAATAATAATCAAATTGTACATCATAAGTATTGTATGACCTGTTATTATCATTATTGTATCGATTGGCGATAGCATAACTTCGATTTTACATTTTACTTTTTCTGTTGGAAGCATGCACGTTTATAGATAGTATAGGTACCTATTTATCTATAATTTAAACATATTATATGTCATATACTAATGCAATGATCCATAATATTAGATACACTCCTATACTCTATATAGGTACTACCTATATCATATTATTATCTTTAATTCAGTGTTTCCGTATAGGTCTTAGCATAGCGAATTTAGTCTTGTCACTGATTTTTTGAATGATAATGCACCAAAACAAAATAATGCAGAGTAACTTGAATGTTTAACGTAAATAATTTATGATTTATATGAATTATTATATATAATAATATAATATATTATATGAATTTACGATTTCATTTAGAAACACTTGCTAAAGACGGTGATATATTAGGTAGGTATATTATGGTATTTTATAATTATTTATCAGGCATGCTTTTAGGGAATTTTTTCAGATAAACACGTTAAGAGTAATAATAAAATAAAACTAAGACGTCACGGGACAATTGACGTGAAACATCAACAATTTTCTTTTGGTTATAATGTTGAAAATTGAAAAGCCACGGTCGACGAGTAGTCGACATCTATAACATTGCCCTGGTCGCCGGTGTCGACTTCTCGTCCACAAATATAGTGTTCACTCTATCGGTTCATCATTTTGATAGGCTATGAGATAATGTTTCAAAATATATTATAGGCGATCAGGTACTGTCCCTCAAGAATCTTGGTTTTTTTTTTTTTTAGTGTATGTATTTATTTTTTACCCGAAATGACGATGTCTTTGAACATCAATAACAATAACGTAATATATATTATTACACTCTATTATTGTCGTTACATCTGGATATAATTAATTTAATAACATTAATAAAGTAACATATCTTCGGATGTATACAGCGTGTTCCTTCAATATACAGAATGATTGAAAAATATAATTATTTTTATCACTAATTATTGAATTTATTTTTGAAATTAAAATTATTACGAGCAGTACCATCAGTATTTATATTTAATTTACTTCTACTTTTTAATTATTTATATAACAACAAGATTAATTATATAAAGAGGATATAGGTGAGCGTATGAGCACGTAGAGAGGAGTTCGCCGAGCTGAGGCAGATTCGCAGATTGAGCCGACGAGCCACAGTCAGCCCCACACCCGTACCGCGCCATTAGATGTTATAAATCAAAATAATTTTAAAAAAACAACGTAATAGTATAAAAGGTACTTAAATAAAACATTTTTTAAACAAGTTCTCAGTCGTTTCAGGCGGTCTACAGCCTTCCATTAAATTACCCATAAATACATAAATGCTAAATTGAGCTAGATTTTCCAGATATTTTTTTTAAAACTAAGAACGCTGTTATTGTTGAAAATTTTTGATAAACCGATGTTTATTAAAGTCATAGCTGTCACATAACGTAACTAAAACATTTGGTTGTACTAAGTTTATGCTAAACTTCAAATAGATAAGCTTTAATCCCACAAAAATATATCGAGAAAAAAATCATGGTTTCAGTTAATTAAATATTATCTTAATAATTCTTCTTACTTTTATGCAAGGATTTTGTATATATTTTCACATCTACTAAAATAATAAATTAAATGTCTGACAAAACCTTTAATGAAACTTGCACTTGTAAGTGGTATTTATAATTTATAGTTTATGTTTGGTACCTTTAAACTTAAGCTTTAAGAAGGATTACCTTCAAAAATAATACAATATAATATGTCTTATAAAAAAAAAAATTGATAATAGTTTGGAAAATGACATTTAACATGTAACGTTTAACAATTTACAGTGAATATTATTAAGATAAAATGAATAGTATATTAATTAAAAACCGTTGAATTTAATTTCATGAGTTATATTAACATTTTTATTATTTTTGTTTCAGTGAAATTTACTGTAATGGATCATTACTGCATAATGTTCAAATGCTTGAAGTATTCGATGATTCTAAGACGTTCGTAGACATGAAAATGAATTTATCATCTGAAGAAATAAAAAAGAAATTCGAAGAGAAGATGGAATCTTGGAAATATAACGCGACCATAGATAATGTGAAGGAGTTCGTCAATACATTTTTTGATAAAGAAGGTTCTGAATTTGAAAAATGGATTCCCACTGATTTTATCAGTGAACCAAAAGTTTTTAACAGTATTAAGGACGTACAATTAAAAAATTGGGCAAAAAATATAACTACAATATGGCTAGATCTTGGTAGAAAGATTAAAGATGACGTACGCTCACATCCAGAGTACTATTCAATTATTTATCTTCCTAATCCTTTTATAATACCAGGTGGTAGATTCCGGGAAGTTTATTATTGGGATTCATACTGGATTATTAGAGGGCTATTAATATGCGAAATGCATAATACCGCCAAAGGTATGATATCCAATTATATATCTATGATACAAACGTTTGGACATGTACCGAACGGTGGTCGAATTTATTATATTCAAAGATCTCAACCCCCTATGACTATACCTATGGTAAAAAGTTATGTAGAATCCACAAATGATATGGAATTTGTAATTGAAATTATTCAATATTTGGAAGTGGAATTCAACTATTGGATTACTCAGCACAATGTAACAATTAATAAATATGGAAGAAATTACACGCTTGCAGTGTACAAGGATAATTCAACAGGACCACGACCAGAATCGTACAGGTAAATTCAGTTGTATTTCATAGAAGTTATCTCAAATTTAATTTATGAGCTTATAAATATTAATTGATGTTACCGATTGTTTCTGATTGAACACTAGCATGGGTGAAATTAATAATTCACGTTTTGTTATAATTTCAAATTTATTTAATTTTTCTATGGCACGGGCATCTTTATATTAGGTAATTACGTATTTGCCCACGAATCATACATATTTACTTTGGGTTGTTAGTAAATATATACATTGCAATTTTTATAATTTCAAAATATGTTTTGTTTTATAACAGGGAAGATATTAAGGCAGCAGAAAACTTTACAACTGAAAATGACAAAGAAAATTTTTATTCAGAGATCAAGGCGGCAGCTGAATCAGGTTGGGACTTTTCTAGTCGCTGGTTCATCCTCAACGGAACGAATAAAGGTAAATAACTTACTAGTTTTTGTATTTATTATATATGTTTCTAAAGACCAAATATATAATTATTTTATATTGATGTAAATATGTAATATAATAATAATTACAATTTAGTCAAATAACTTAATTTTGATACAATTTCTAATAATATATAATTCGATTTCGTACATAATAATATGTATCTAATATTCTAATGTGTTCATAATATTAATAAGGTAGTGTTCTTGTAATCATTACACACACACATATTACTCGGAAGGATTAAAATTAAAATATAGTAATAAAAATCGGAAAAAAATGGAAATTTATAAAATATATTTCTGTATATCAGCTAATAGTAGAACTAGGTACTATAAGTTGTATAGGCATCAATAATAATTATGTTATTTTAGCTGAGCCCTTCTTAAATTATTGGGGAAATAGTTCACTGAATAGTTAATTTGTCAACTACTGGCCCTAAATGCAATAAAAGCCTTGCTGCTATGCTTTCTATTATATATGCCCTAGTCATTATTACATTTTTAGTTAAATTAATTTTAACTAAGTTAATTGTTTTTAACCCACCATGTTTAACTTAACTAAGTTATAAAAAATTATTAGTTATTTTTTAGCTCAACTTTACATAAATCTTCTTAGATTAACTTAACGAATTAAAAAAAAATCGTTAACTCGCCCTACCTTGCACAGGCGTTATACCCTAGGTATGCCTTCACAAAATAGTCAAGACGTCTTTATACACTCTCTATGCGATAATACGTTATACGGTATAGAATAGGGTAGGGACTACATTTATTATATTAATACAATAAATCTCGTTATGTTGAAACTCAAGGGAAACAGATAGAAGTTCGAGATATTGAGTCTTTCACGACTACACGTCTCCGACTTACAAGTACCTACGTAACATAGCAAATATACTCTCAGCAGATTACGTTTAGCTCCGTTAGTTTAAAATTTAGAGTGTACTGATCTATTATTAAACAAGACGGTAAGAATATTATCTGTGTTTGTGTGTGGTTTGTTACTATAGTTAATTTTTTTTGCAATTTACGTGTATATAAGGTAGCGTAAATTATAAATGATCATAACTCACTTAAAAACTGAATATATATATATTTATATAATTAATAAAACCAGCGTTATCTGCTGAACGTGTATTCGAAATGTTACGCACTTGTAAGATGGATTCAACAAATATCTGTATATCTGTGTAGTGTCTTTTTAATGTAGTTACCCAATGTTAATATTACTTTAATGGGATTTCAATTGAGATCGAGATGAATTAGAGATACGATGTTCTCCCAGGTAATAAGAATCAACTGCAGTGTATAGGTACGTAATATATGGGTACCTACTGAAACAAAACAAAACCCAATTCGCATTCGATACATTTTTCAAAATTATATTATAAGACAGAGTTTCACTTTTTCTAACATAATATTAAGTACTTATTAAAACGTAATTAATCTTAACTCACATCAACATATAATTATTTATTATAACCTTTATGGTAGTTTACTCTTTAAAACAAAATATATAATAACATTTTTATAATATTAAAATCAGTAAACAGTTTCCAAATAAAATATTCAATAAATAACCATTTTTGTGGCAATAAGCGCTACTAGGGGGGCTGTTGGGGGCTTGTTTCTTATTTTTTTTTTTTAACTTTTTTTTTTAGGTATATTGATAACTTTGATAAATATGGTAAATATCATAATATGTATGCTTGTATTAATGAAACAATTTATGTCGGTATGATATAAGCTATTTTGTATTTGGTAAGATTATTACACATCATTTTACAGTATACCTATACACTGAACTATAACATAGAGATAGGCAATAGCGGAATAAAAATCCCTGACCCTAGGAAAAATAACTCCCAGACTACAATATTACTGACAACCACATGGCATTTTTAAAACGTAATTAGTGTAATTATTACATGATTAATATTTAATTACAAAATACTTTACATTAAAAAAATTTATATTTAATAAATAATTTAAAAAAATGAACAAAAATATTGTTTTCTTTTATATCACGATGTGAAACAACATATGTCAATGATTCTTTTAAAAGATTATTGATTATAGGTACCCATATATTCATTAACCATTTGTTTAATAATTATTTATTTTATTTGAAGTATCGATCATTCGAAATATTATTATTTTATAACCTTTTAAATATTGTATCCACCTATATTAAGTTAGAATGTTATTGGTTATTGTTACAATTATAAATATTACCAGTTTTAATTAAAAAAAATCTACTTTCTTCTCTTTTTATGCACGATTTAAAATAGTTTCATTTAGTATATATTTAATGTATATAATCTGAAGTTTTTATTCGAATTAGAGTAGGGTCTATACTTTTATCTTTACTCTAAACACTCTATAAAGTAAATTTTTCCAATCTATTATTACTGCATGTGTTTCATGAGGCATACCTCAAGACCGACCGAACGATCCATTTTCATAACGATTATACATTACGACGTTAGGTACCTCGTATCCTACATACAGTCCATGTCATAAATTATGTGTACCTAAAATGTATCATCACGTTAATTCTACTCAATTGATACGCATTACATTTTTATATTATTTCTAAAGCATGTCCACAACGATTAATATGAAGAATATTGGTTTTATTCTATTTTTATCTTTCATAAGCATTATTAAAACTTGATCCCGAGTTTGACGTATACGATAGTAATCGACGTCTCAATGAATAAAATATAATTAGGTACTTCATTTCTGATCAAGATTTAATATATGATTTTCATATTCGCCAAATTTTTTGGAAAATGATTTCATTTTGTTACCTATTATTTTTATTTTTATTTTTATTTAATTTACATTAAAAAAATTAATATTTGAACTCAATGGTGTATTAAATATGTAAATATATTTATCGTGTGTATCATAATAAAATGGGTAAGGGGGTGAGATAAAGTTTATCGGATAATAGGTATTGTCTTAGTTCTATTAGGTTATGATGTGGTCAAAAACTTTGCTTACAATAAATTATGTCATTGTATGATTGCAGGAAACATTACACATACAAAAACTAGATCAATAGTCCCGGTAGAGTTGAACGCATTAATCTTTTGGAATGCGAAGATATTGAGTGATTTCTACCGGGAATTGAATAATACCATCAAAGCTTTGGAGTATGAAGTCATTGCTACGGAATGGAAGGATGCTGTGAATGCAGTTTTATGGAACGAGGAAGTGGGTGCCTGGTTGGACTTTGATCTGCTGAATCAAAAAAAACGAAACTATTTTTACCCAACTAATATATCACCCTTATGGACGGGGTGTTACGACAGAAATCGAACAGATTATTTTGTGACAAGGATATTAAAGTATTTAAAAGAAAATGAAGTATTGACGACTTCTGGGGGAGTACCAACGACTCTCATGGAAACTGATCAGCAGTGGGACCAAAGTAATGCATGGCCCCCACTGCAATATATTATGGTGATGTCGTTGCAGAACACGGACAACGAAGATGCAAAAGTTATGGCGGCAAAAATAGCTTCAAAATGGCTATGTACGAACTTCGTGGCCTACTATGGAGACAAAAAGTACAAGATGTATGAAAAGGTAAGTCCGATTTGATGATATAACTAAATAAAACAATTTATCGGGTGGAAAGGGGATACTGTGCAGTGTAAACAATATTATTTTAATTCATTATAAATATAGGTACATATTTTCATTGAGCCGTATTTGACTATCAATTTATGTTTATAATTCACAACGATGATAACTATCATAGGGGTATAATTATTTGAGACAAATGCTAAAAGATGATAAAAAAAATGTGTGCACAAACATATCGACTGGTCTGCAGAACAGTTATTAATATAGTGTAGGTGGTTTAACTGATAGACAAGTTTCACGTGAATTGTAGACTGCAGGGCCAAAAAATACATCTGATTTCAGGATACACACCGCACACTGATTAATTTCACTGTTACTTTAGAGCTTTGACAGTTTTCTATAGCAAAAAAAAACCTTTGGTTGTTGTAACACATGAAACCCCCCCCCCCCCCACACTTTTATATACTAATTACCATGTAAGTTAGCTAATGATTTAATTTTGATAATAATGATTATTTTAAATCACTAAATGCAGTAAAAGCCTATGGGTGTTTTTATTTAAATATTTTTGTATGTTATCATCATCAAATAGAATATAATTTATGTAACGAAATAGTTTATAAGAATATTCAAGGTTTTTAAAAAACAATTTTGATTATGGTTGGAAAATAATATTGGATTCGTTAAATAAACTGTTATAATATGTATATATTATATGTATATTATTATGTATGTAGATCTTTTTAGTTACATTTATTATAATACAAAATAACTATATAATTCTTTAACATCCTATTTATGATTATAATAATCGGTTTGAACTTTTTCGGTTTTTTTTAAATATCTTAACATTTTTTAGACTTAAAATAAACAAAAATAGATATTTATAATATGCGCTAGCACCTATACCTTATTATATAATATTGTATTTCAATATACACAACTTAGAATAATTTAAATATCTTATGTACCTATACCTGCATGTTACGTTATTTTATAATAAAGCAGGTACCTAATTACCTACCTTCTAGTTAAGAATTCGTAAAAATTTTTCTTTTTAAATCTAAGATTTGAAAATCTAATACAAGATTACTCATAAGATTGTCTACCTTTATCAATAAAAAAATCTCTACCGGAAAGTCAAATTAAATTTTTATGAGCGTTTGAAATTCAAATTTTTACAAAATTGGATATTCACTTGATTTCTCATGTAGCGATTTTCTTATTTTGTTGTAATTCAAAAACGAATAAATATAGATACATGAAAATTTCACTGAATGTTCAGATTAGCATTTTCTATACACTGTACAATTTTTAAAATATTTTGACTTTTTTTGAGTTGTTTACAGACATTTTCAGTTTTCAATTTTTTTAGTTTTTTTTTTCTATAAATATCAATAAAGTTTTATCTGTTGATCCAAAAAGTGTAAAAATTGAATACAAGGATCCTGATATATTTTTACAGTAGCAGTTGAAAAATATTAAAAATACATAGGCACAATTTTTTTTATAAGCATTTAAACATCGAATTTTGACAAAATTTATCAAAATCTCGAACATTTTCAATCATTGTAATTAATAAATTATAAAATGTTCAGTTTTTATAGCTAAAGATTGCAAATTTAAAACAAAGGTTCTCATAAATAGTTCATACTGTAACCTAAAAATCTAAAAAATATTTGAATACAGTTATTTTTTACAGACATTTTAAATTCAAATTTGGACGAAATTACATATTAAAATCAATATTAACGATCTTTGTTTTTGTTGTAATTTAAAAATATTATTCGTGGATATATGAAACTGAAAAATTTAAATATTATGGCCTATCCATACAATCTACCATAGTATAAGGAATAAGAATTATGCTCATGATAAGACTGTGCATATTTTAAGGAATTTATTCATAAATTCCATATAATTTAATACCATAGAAAAGTATATAATATGTCTTATACGTAGACTGACATACCGTCTCCGCTCAGAATCGTTTTTCTTATACAATGATATTATATAATTGCATTCAAATTTTATACCATCCATTATACAGTGACCCACTTGTAACCTACAGTACAGCAGAGCGACATCCACTTACCCACATTTTTTTTTATAACAAACTTGCCCATTGTATGGGAATAAAATAAGTAGGTAATTAACTTAAGCTAACTGAATAGGTAATTAATAAATTAAAATATTAAATTATTTATGTTAGTTTTTCTACAAAACTAAAAACACGTTATAAAACTTGGGACACACATTTTTCATTTCGGTTACACACTTTGATTTTCTGGGGACACAGTATTTTAGCCCCTGGTAGACTGTATACATTTTTTTAATACTTGTTACATCTGCAGACTTATTTAAATAAATCATATTGTCGTTTGTTATCGTGTATACTAATTCGCCAAATGTTTTGACAGTACCTAGTGAATGGAGATGGCAAAAAAGGAGAAAGTTCAGGAGAATACGAAATCCAGGACGGATTTGGATGGACGAATGGGATCGTTCTCGAATTTTTACAATTATACAAATCTACAGCCTCAACAGAAGAATGGAAGATAACGGCAAATAGCTGTTATAAAGAATACGAGAAACTGATAATTTAAAAGAATAATAATAATAATAAAAGATATTATAGATAATAATTGATGTAAAAACAAATTAAATAATAATAATACATAATATGAAAAGTATAATGCATTTGATTACCTTGGCTTAAACTACAACCGGAAGAAAACTCTAAATTTGTATTTTTAATACAAGATGATAGTATTGTATCCATATTTTGTTGTAACTTACTAGTTACTTGTTGAACCTATATTATTATAAATATAGTACGCTTTGTTTGTTCTTACGCTACAGAAAAATAGTATAAATATGAAACCTGCAGTGACCTCTAGCTTATAAAATAGAGTGTAAAAATGTACTGCAATGAAAAAAGGCTAAAACCTCCCCCCCCCAAAAAAAAATCCTCACTCTATGCCTATGTTTATCGCTGTAATTTGAGAATGCGTAAATTATAAATTATAAATAATTTAATATATTAATATTATATTATATTATAAATATTATAAATATTATATTTATAATAAATAATTTGAACGCGGGCACACAATATATTATGGTAAATTAAATAATTAAAACAAAAACATTATAATATTTAGACGCTTATGTCTTATTTTTTTTATTGAACTTAGCCCGGCAACTATGGACATTAGATGTTTTTGTTGCTTTACAGTGGAGGGGAACAGTTGAAACACGTTTTTTTTTAAGTTTGGCAGAGTTTTTGACACCCGTAGGTTTCTGCCATGCCCGGTTGGGGATGGCGGCATCACTTACGGACACCGTGACTGCCCGAAGAAAAATGGCGCCAGTGGCCGGGTTCGCTCGTCCCCCTTACTTTATTATTTAGTGGCTCGTAGTTAATTATGTGACATTGTTACGTCGAACAATAAAATTATGAACACAAAATAATACCATTAAACGGTGTTTAATTGATTTTACTTATAATACAATTATGAAAATAAAATATGTTTGACTAGTCGATGCTGCTATACTATACGATTTCCGTTTCTTGGTAAAAAATAACCATTTATTTGATAGAATTAATAAATGAAAACAAATATCAAATATGGGGAAACGTTTCTAGCTCAACTAAATGAAGGGGAACTCTGAAATCTATGAAAAAAATTAAAGCGGACTTCGTCAGCCTGTGTATAGCCCCAATTCGAGCACTGATTATCATGATGAAATTAAGAAAGCTGGTAAACACACAAATCATTGTGGCAATTATTAATGACCTAATATTTAAAAAATAAATAAAGCATTCATAATTATTAATTAATAAATTAATTGATAAAAATGGTATTTCGATTACAAACGGAAAAAATATTTGTGATGTATTTAACATTTTTTCTTACTAATGTTGGTAAAAAAAAAAAATAGAAAACAATATCAAACAAAAATGTTATGAAGAAAAACCATGGGAGGATAATATATTTATAGGTAATCACCACATTAAAATATTGACAGTCACAATTCTAAGATTTGTTTATATCTTTAACTATATTAGACACTTATTTAGTCTTCAAATAAAACTTTTAGTATATTATGTGTCAGTTTGCACAATCAATCCTAAATATTATGGAATAATTACATTGGGCCAAGCATATGGCAATTATATATATTCATTACAAATAACCTTAAATAGCTTAATTACATTTTTGTTAAACAAATCAAAATATTCTAGTATTTACCTAAAGATTACGTATACCTGCTATAGTCAAGTAACTATAACGATATTACATTTTTTTAAAGCATCATAAATATAACCTTTATTATTTAATTTATTATTAGAGTATGTTATTAGTAGGGCTCGGATTTATAATATGTATTTATATAACCAAAGTATGTATTTACACAACAAAAATATGTGCTAAAGAATTCAAAATATGTATTATCAAAAAAAAAAAATGATAAAATGCTATGGATTTTTCACAAGCAGTACAATACAAAATGTGACCGTCACTTTGTAAATATTCATTTGGATATTCAGAAACATATTTTATTGCTTTGCAAGTTTTAGACGATCGCACTATTTGCATTATTGGTAATATACACGTAAAATATAACGAATAACGAGGCAACGAAACACACACTACGATGTCACATTAAAAAGTACACACGTATCTCAGTGTTCGCTCGTTCGTGTTTAACCTATTTAAAAATGAGTTAATCGTAATATTAATATTTCAATTGATAAAATCGTATCTAGAAATAATTGAAAATATAACAGGTTGAGTGTAATGGTCGTTTGTAATCGAGGATCATCGACGTCAAAAATACGTCCGGTGGATCCCGCCGACCACACGATATCATACTAGACGTGAACTATTAAGTATTGGCTAATGGCTTAGGTACTCATGATAACCTTTCAATCTTTCTTAACTCTGAAAAAAGAGGTTAAAACAGTAAAATTGTCTAAATATGTGAGAAAAAATTGAATAATTGTGAAATATGTAAAAACATGTATTTATGATAAAATATGTAAAAATATTATCAAATATAGTTTATTTTATCAAAAATATTGTGAAACGAATTTATCACTTGCCGAAATTAGTTTATCATGTCGCAGAGAAAATATGTATTTACATATAAATAAGAGCCCTAGTTATTAGGTACTTATCTGATCGTTGAAGAAATTGATTCGTTTACCTATTTAAAATCTGATACGAAATAAATATGAAGATGTGAAATGTAATTGCATAATATACAATATTATCTCAAAGGAACCCTTTTTTGATTAGGCATTTATATTGGTCAGTATTACATTACACTTTTTGCTAAACTGCTATTAAGATAATATAATAATATAATGTCTAAATTATAAACATCTGTGTATAAGTATTACAGTTGAACGTTTATATTTTATCCCTCAACATTAAGAGGATGTCAGCCCGGTCAGCGCACTATTTGTTTTTCTCTCTCTGGCCCACTCGCAACATAGACAAAATGCATTTACGCAGAATCATTTTTCCCATGTTTTTATTTAATCTTAGAGTAAAATCACTAAGGTATAATAATTACAAAAAGGTTATAGAATAATATTTTTGAGGGAATGATATATCGAATTGCCTAAATATTTTTTTGTTTGTTTTGAAAGCCAAATACACAGTCAAATAACAATAAAACATAAAATCGATATGTCATTCCCTCAAAAAAATTACTCTCTATCTTTTTTGTAGTGGGTTATTTTTCTCTAAGATTAGTTAAAAATAGGGATCAAAATTTCCAAAAAAAAAAAAAGTTTCGAAAAAAACACTGGTTTTTCCCTTTGTTTTTCGAAAAAATTGGGAAAATTTAGTTTCATTTAAAATGTCTGGAAATAATGGTTTTTTATTCTAAAGAACTGAAAAGTAATCTATATTGGAAACAACCTAATAAATAATGATATTTGATTCAGGGGCGGACTGGGACGGGTCCGGCCCACTGTTCCAAGTTTATTAGCGGCCTTAGGTGTATTAGGCCAATTTTTTTTACTCTAATTGTGCTGATGATCTATGAACTTATACACGACGTATAACAGAAACACCTGACTAATTAATTAGGTAGGTAACTTAATTTGTTCTAATCATTTAAATAATTATTTTAAATAATTTATATAGATTGTTGTAAGTACAGTATAATATTTATACCACCAATATTAAAAAGGGGAGCAAGTGGATGTCACTCTGCTGTACAGTAGGTTACAAGTAGGTCACTGTAATGGATGGTATAAAATTTGAATTTAATGATATAATATCATTGTATAAGGAGAAAACGGTTAATATAAAGTATTTGATGATACTATTGTGAATAAAGTACTTAGGTACCTAACCTAATTAATTTCATTATTAGGAATTATAGTATTTACTATAGTAGGTATTAAATTCATTGTTCCAAAAAAAATTACATTTGAAAATATCATTGCGTGTATATAAAATATAACAATATACTCTAAAAGTTTCTATACCAACAAATAATATTTTTAAATTTCAATTCTTGGTTTTAATATGTCATTTAGTCCAAATTTGAATTTAAAGTGTCAGTAAAAAATAATTGTTTCTTATAACTATATTCTTCAACTATATTTTATAGATTTTTTGGTTACAGTATGAACTATTTATGATAATCTTCATTTTACATTTTCAATCCATAGTTATGAAAAATTAAAAACTGTACATTTTCTAATTTTTTAATTATGCAATGATTAATAATTTTCGAGATTTTGATAAATTTTGATAAATTCGAACTTTAAATGATTATAAAAAAAAATTGTGTCTATGTGTGTATTTTTAATATTTTTAAACTGCTATTGTAACAATATATCAGGAGCCTTGTATTAAATTTTCACACTGATTAGCCCACCAAAATAAAATTTGATTGATATTTATAAAAAAAAAACCAAGCAAATTGAAATTTTAAATTGCTGGTAAACAGCTCAAAATGAGTCAAAATATTATTAAAATTGTTAAGGTGTATAGAAAATAAGAATACAAATATTCAGTGAAGTTTTCATGAATTTAAAGTTATTCATTTTTCAATTACAACAAAATAAAGAAATCGATAGGTACATGAGAAATCGAGTTAATATCCAATGTTGAAAATATTTGAACTTCAATCGCTCATACAAATTTTATTTGACTTTCTGGTTAGGTTCGAAATTTTTTTTCGATAAAAGTAGACAAAATTATGTTGAATCTTGTATAACATTTTCAAATCTGAGTTTAAAAAATAAAAATTTTTATAAAATTTACTAAAATAATTTATGAATTTTCGTCATTTTTACGTATTTTTTCAATATTTGAACTTTAAATGCTTAAAAAAAAAAAAATTGTGACGACGATTATTTTCATCTTCCTTTGAAATAATATATCAGGAGCCTTTTATTAAATTTTCAATAGTTTTTACCCAACAAATAAAATTTTATTGATATTTATAGAAAAAAAAATACTAAAAAAAATCGAAACTGAAAATGTCCGTAAACAGCACAAAATAAAACTTGAAAATGTTATGGTGTATAGAAAATTCTGATATAAACATTCTGTAAAAATTTGATGTACCTATT